AAACTGCGAATAGGGAGACGATTGATGTGGCCGAGTGGGAGGCCGTAGCGGGTTGCTGCGTCTTTTAATTGCTGGGTAGTGACTTTACTTGTTTGTAGCAAACGGAGGACTTCATTGGCGGCCTCCTGGACAGTGGGTTCGAAAGTAGTGACCCACTGTTGGATATCAGCATTGGTCCAGCTGTCATGGGGCGTCGTCCTTCAATGTTGGGTGTGGAGGTTGCAGGACATCTGCCAACACTGGTGGCTTGGAGGTAGGTGGAGTTGGTGGATGGGATGGTACGCCAGAGCCGGTGGCGTGGCTAGCGCTCTTGACAGGAGTGAGAGGATTGCCCAGGATTCTGTTTGGCGCGGGCAAGTTCGTATGGGGCGTGGAAAGCCCGTGCTTGGGTGGTTTTGCTGGGGACTTCGGTGCCTTGTTTGGTGTGGAGGGTTTCGGCAATGCCGTCCAGGTCCAGGCGTTTCTCCCTGACCTCCTGGAGGAGGTGTGTGACGAAAACAGATTCCGCCACACTCCTGGTGGCAATGAATCCGGTGTATTTCCCATGGCTGAGAGTACGGGCTGTGAACTCTGAGGTGCTGTGGTAAGCAAGTTGCCAAGGAAAAATGTCAAAAGTTGGAAGGCCGGCAATTCCGGCTTTGCGCGACCATTGGGTGGATTGGATTGTTTTGTAGAGCTGATGGCCGTGAAGTGTGTTGGCATCCCAATGTTGCTCTGTTTGGTGCCAGGAGTCTTGAAGTGGTGGTTTGGGTGAAGGAATGTGGGGTGGCGGCGGGGGTGCAGAGGCTGAGGCAGCAGGTGCTCCTGGCTGTGGGCTGTGTTTGAAAGACGAACGTAAAAAAGCCAGGATAGTTGGCAAAGTGGAGTGTGCTAGGGAGGAAGCGCCCTTGTCGTAGAATGTTTGTGATGTTGCCAACAGGGCCTGTGTGGCCGGCGTTGATGTGCGCAACTTCCCTGTGGGTGGAAGTGGCACGGGAAACGGGCGGTGGTGTGGGATGGGTGGCTTTGGTGTGGAGGAAAGGTAGTGAGATGGCGTGGTATTGGAATGATCCCATTGATGAGCGGTTCATTTCATTCCACTTGACATAAGTGTATTGTCGAAAGTCGTTGAGTTCTTTGTATGTGATGTTGCTGTCAAACAGGAGGTTGGCAAGGTATTGGTGTTGAGGGCGGTTGGAGGCATCGAGCTGGTTGGCATGGAAATCGAGCCAGGCAAGAATCTGCTGTTTTGGTGGTAAAGTTGGAAATGTTGGTGAAGGTCGCCGTCGGTTGGGTGGTCTACGGATCGTTGGTGGAAATTTGGAAGTGTCCGTGTTCGTGTTGTCTGCTGTGGAGGCATCGGTATTGGGACGTAGATCGATGGGTTGTCTGGAGCGGCTGCGGGAAGGTGTGGAGGAGTGGGAGTAAGTGGATGTGGTTGGCGAGCGACGTCGCCAAGAGGAACTGTGATGTCTAGTGGATTTGGAGTGATGGCGATGTCTCCGGCGGCGGCGATGTCTGTGGCGGCCGCGTCTGTGATGGTCGCTCTTGCGCCGGCCTCGGTGGTGGTGGCGGCGACTGCTGTGAGGTGGATGTGGAGATGGTGGGACGGGTGAAGCTGTGTTGTCTGGTATGGCAGTGATGGGTTCTGGGGCCACTGTGGCTGGTGGGGCCGATGCGATGGAAGGTGATGGAGAAGGTAGTGAGCCGGTGGCAGTGGTTGTTTGATTGGGAGCTGGAGTGGTGGGGTCCAGTGACTGGGGTGGTGGTGGAATCTGTGGTGAGTCACTGAGGGCTAATTGAGGTTGTGATGGAGGTGGATGCACAGGTTGTGTAACCGGTGGAAATGCTGAATAAGGCTGCCAGACCCCTTGTGGCATGTGCCATTGGGGTTCAATTGTAGTAGTAGGTGAGAGCATTTGCTGAGGTGGGGGGGCAGGTTGAATCGGTGTAGCGGTGGCTTGATCTGGGGAGGGGGAGTGGTGCATTGGTTGCACAAGGTAAGACGGGGGTGGTGCCGGTGGTTGAAACGTGGGTTGTGGCAGTGTGAATTGTGGTTGAGTAGGGGTTACCGTCGTCCATGTGGTGGGATTGCCATAAGAAGGGGCAACTGCCGGTGCTGAGTGACAGGGAAGTGGAGTGGGAATCGGCATAGATTGAAGAGCTGGAAATGTCTGATGTTGTGGTACAGGGTATGGTTGAGGTTGTGGATAAGGAAATGCTGGTGTGGTATGTGGCTGTGGCAAAGGTGCTGTCGGTTGTGGTGGTGGTTGTGTTGATGGAACGGGTAGTGGAGGTGGTATGGCTTGTGGATACGGCCAGGGGTACTGCATGATGTGGCCAATAAAAGGTTGGTGAAGATCGTCACAGCTGTGCTGCAAAAGCTTCAAAATGGCGCGGCGCGGCAGCTGAAACTGCGAGTGTTGGAATCGTGTGAGTTAGAGGTCGTACTGCTTGTGTTGATATGTATTCGGTGTAGTTGTGAAGCAGTGATAGTTTGTCTTCCTGTATAGTGTGGTAAGTGTTGGTGTGTTCATGCATATCGAATTAATCAGTTTGAAAGTCAAGTCGGATCGCTTGAGCGCTTCTGCAGAAAACAGGCGGAAAAATGCATGGAGATCTTGCACAAACGATGCATGTTGAAACGGTCAGGTCCCGTGGTAAGGCCCGGCGGCCGTGTTAGCGGTTGATTCTGTGGGAGTGTAGGTGAGTTCCAGTGGAGTTCCTGTGAGCAGTGGTGAGTTCAGTGAATGCTTTCCCAATGAAACAGCGCCCCAGTGACGGGGATCACACTCAGCACCCGAGTGGGACGGCTGAGCGAAACACACTCTGACAATTGTATTCAATTATCTCGATTCCCACGTTGAGAAGGAAAGTGGTGGAACGGCAAGGCGAAAGAGTCCGGTGACTTGAATTGTTGAAAAATGTTTCACTCGCGCGGCTGGCTGCAGTTCACAAGCGGCTGAAACCTGTTTGTGGGGTGGAATACATGAAGAACCATGAATCAAATCGTGGAAGAGTAGGGTGGACAGCTTGTGCAAAAGTTGTGTGGCAGGTACACACCAAAGCGTCCTTTGGTGCTTCCCATCTCGCTGCCTAGCTTTGTTAGACCAGGTCAGCAGCGAGATGCCTGGTCCCCTTGCTGCTGGTGAAACAGGTGGCAGTGGATGTCATGAAAGGTAACCCTTTGACCAGGGGGCGACACACACACACACAAAGCTTTTTGTGGGCACGCTTTATACAAGGCCCACATGGTAGAGCTTTATACCATGCTTTTTTGTGTTTCCATGGACCGGTGGCCCCCACGGCCTGAGCAGCTCTCAGGAGCAAGTCCTGGCGGGGCTCGAATGGTTTCTGCTATATGTGGATCATGCACTTTTGAAAAAACCTGGATACTATGGCTTGCTCCTAGTATCTCCTAGTTTTATGGCCATGTCGTCAGTGAAATTCGCCAAAATCATCTATAATCTTGAACAAGTCTGAGGTGTTCCTTCCAATATGACAGGAGAACAACACAAAACAACCGTTTTCGCTGTGCGTGGTCCTGCGCCATGGAGCAAAGGAATCCGTCCGCTCGGTCCGCTCGGGTGTTCGATACGTTGATCCTCACAAAGATGGTCATTGTGGTTGAAAAGCTGTGTAGGTCCTTGGTTTGATGATTTGTCTACAAGGTCGTATTCTGTCGGATTTTCATGTATATTTGCATCTTGAGACTTGTCTACATACTTTTGACCTCTTTGTTTAAATCAATGTCTACATATTTTTGACCTCTTTGTTTAAATCAATGGGCCATGAGCTTTTGGGCTTTCTAGGGCTTTCGAACTGTTCTTCCTAGTCACAGTGTGATGTCAGGACCTCCAAAGCTCCAGTACTTACTCCAAAGCCAAAATGGGACCACGCAGGCATGGTGCTGCAGGTTGTATATTGATGCTTGATGATGCCTGCACAACCCTTGGCCGAAGTCATATCCGGTACTCGGCAGCGTCATCTCATCTACTTTTTCTTGAATGTAGGGTCCGAAGCAAGCGCATGCAAGTCACAAGTAAATCTACTTGTTACTTGTAGCCACTCAAACGCATGCTTCAAACTTGGAAAGGGCATCAAAGAGGCCCTGGTTCTACGCAAGTCTTCAATCTGCTGCACTTCAAACAAAACAAGCGAAATACACACACCATTTTCCTTCCGCAGCTCCAACATTTGTTGTCCAACTCTCGTTCCAATGAACTAGGCAGTTCTTCAGCTCGCTTGACTCGAAAAACGCATCAGCGAAATCTGAAGATCCCACCTGCTGCCATGCCGTCGCAAACAACCACTGAAGCAATGGCTTCCGTCACCTGGTCTTGACTTGCAACTTGGAAACACCTTCGATTTTTCTGCGGTCCCCGTTGGCGGTCCCCTCTTTTGTCCCCGATACGTTGCACTTCTTGGCAGCGGACGGATGGGAACACTGCGGTCGGCTCGACCGGTCGGCTGCACCGGTCGATCGCGGTCGAATCGCTGCGGTCTTCTGCACTTGGTGCGCTTCGCGCAGCGATGTGCGGCACCGCCACATGATCTTCACACGCCGTCTGGTGATCACGTCGTGGGTTGTCGGAGTATCACTGTGAGTTTGCGAACGCATCTGCAACTTGTCCAAGTGATTCCACAAAAAGGGCCCATCCCTTGAAAGTGAACCAAGCACGACTCAATCCAGAGCATGCTGCGGTGAATGAGTCTCACCAATGGCACGACTCTGCGACATTCGACCAAAGGTCTTGAGCTATCCCCGTCTGTGCGAGCAATCATATTCGGGTGTTCAAGCGACAAGTCTGGAAACTAATGGTTTGTGTACGGCACAAAGGGCAACCTTTGGGGGCACGTTGCATATGGTTCTGGGAAGCAAATTGCAAACCGGGTAGATTGCAGGAATTGAATGTGCGATATGCAAGCAAAGGCCCAGTATCAAGAAAAAGATGAGCTGCCAACTTCTTGTGGATCAGCCTGGTTCCTGCACGTTCAGTCATCTAGATTGGTGCGGTGTCTTCTTGACCACCTTTGAGGGTTGTTCAGAGTGAGAAGTGAACTTGACATAGTCTGAGTTCAGGGAGAGCTGCCTTCCTACTTTGCCTCATCTCACAAGGTCTCACAATGACATGATGACCTTGGCCAGCCAGGTTTGTTCTGGGACACCGGACTCTGGAACCCACACCGGGCAGGGTCTGGTAATTTTCAATTCCTGTCAATTTGGACTTGTCTGATATCACATGGTACAAACTGGAGAGTCCAAACAACATGAATGTCTAGATATGTCTAGATGATGAATCATGTGCTCCATATTGCTCCATCACATGTACACGCTTTCGATTCTTTACAACGTCAAAGTTTGCTCGGTTTGGTCTGAGTCAGAGACACTCTGAGCTGAAGAACTTGCCTCAAATGGCGAACGAGCGAACGTTCCCATGTTCAGTAGTTCCTGGGGTCTTCCACATCCAAATGTTCAATGCTGACCTCCCTCTGAGTCTTCCCCGAATCTTCCCTCAATCTTGGAAGACCCCGTGCGGTCTCAATTTGCTTCAAGTTTCGGTGTTGGCAAGCTATACCTTCGTTGGGTCCCTTCTCTCCGAGCGTCTGCTGTGGTGGAACGATGATCACCCCGCATCACTGAATCCTCATCCTGCAGGCAACATGCTGACACCTGATGAAGATATGGGAATGGGAGTGTATTGAAATAAGACGACCCCTGAAGACCCTCTGATTGAAGAAACAAAGCCATTTTGAGACAAACCCATATCACCAACCACGTCCCTAACTCTGCCCTTGAGCATCATGCCAAATATTCTCACACCAGGAACCATAGAAGCTTTGGAGAGCACCCTGGTGCCTTAATCCCAGTTTTGCTGCATAGTACAAATTGCGCATAGGCATACTACAAGTGGGATCAATGGGGATCCTTTTGTGACTTCAGATTCATGTCAGCATCATTGCACAAGTAGTGTGGAATCTACAAGGATGTGCATTTTGAGAGAGTCCTGTGTGTGCGAGAACTGCTGCCACGTGTGATGGTTTGTGAGTAAGCATAAATCAAGGTTTCGAAGGGTCTCCCTTATCCAGCAATAACAACAGTAAAGGCTGGAGCACGCTTAAGCCTTGTCACCGAGTTTTGTCCTGAATTGCAAAGCAATAGTGCACCTGCTTTGCTCATAGGGCCAGTGTTCATCAGTGTCTGATGTGTATGTACAAGCCATGCAAGCCAGCGGTTCAGTCATTCTCCTCAATGAGCAAGGTCTGAAAATGACTGGGTGGAATGGTCACCAGCGCTTTCCTGAGCTCCGGCCCGAGTGTATCACGGCATCACGGCACTCTGTGATACACTCCACAGGATGGCCCCGAAATTGAACCGAAAACCGTCAAATCGGACTTTGGGAAACCGAACCGAATATCGAAAATCGAACCGAGCCAGACACAAACCTTACTGGCCAGGAAAATCGCAAAACCGAACCGTTCTCCAGTTCTCCGTGTCTTGCCTGGCTTGAAGCACCAGGACTCATGTGCCAAAGTCAAAGAAAACACCACGTAAAGGAAGGGAATACAACAAAAAGGCAAGCAGAAAACCAAAATGGCAAAGCACAAAGGAAGGCTGAATTGTTGCAAGGAGGACAAAACCACAGAAACCAGCAAAACAAAAAACAATTCCCTGACGTGCCTGACCAAGGGAAGCTTACTTTTCTTGGCAACACAAAAAGGTCGAGCAGAGTTATACGGAGAAAGTACAATGACCGCGTACGGACAAAGAGGAATAGACAAGCCTCGCGGACAAACGTTTCAGAGCCCTTTTCAAACCATATCAAACACCTGCAAAGAAGAAAGAGAAAGAACATCACGAATATGTCATTTTTGCGCTTGTGTGTCACCGTGCCTTCACTGCCAGACATGTGGAACGTTACCCTTTTCTTTGTAAAAGGTTTGATAGAAGAACGGTTGACTGGACTCAATCCAGGACAAGCCAGGTAACCACGAGGTCGCACTCATGCTCCAATGGCGGGCGACGAGCAGAAAGAAAGCGCTTTGAGATGGTTTGACCAAACATTAGCAGGGGGATGCACAGTCGCACTCCAGTCCGCACTCTCTTAAAGGCCACGTCAAACAAAACCTTCTTTGCTTGACTTTTGTGAGGCCCAATGATGGATCCACGCCCTGGGCAAGGCGTGAATGGGCCCGAACTGCTGTTTGAAAGGGTCTGAAAGAGGTCTGAAAAGTTGGCTTCTCTAGTACTTGTCCAGGTCAACTTGTTCTGAGCCCGCCGGTTCTTATTGTGGTCCAAATGCTCCTTATCGCGTCTGAGCATTGTCTTTGTGGGCGATTTTTCTTGGCGATTCTTACTTGATGCGCCACTGGTGGGAACTTGAGCCTTTTGGACCTTGAATTGTTAGCCCCCCCTCGTGTGTGTATGTGCGTGTGTGTCGGTGTGCCTGCGCAGCAACTCTGGCAAAGCACGAACCGCGCGAACTGAGAAATTGGAACCATGAAAACGAACCGAAGTAAAACCGAACCGTGCACTGGTCTAGATTAGGTTCAAAGAAACCGGACCGAACCGAACCGTGGCCTTCCTGACTCCAGGAGACTGGGGAGACCCATTTCAACATGCCTAACTTGATGGACGCCTCAAAATCCTCAAAGACAAACGTCTTGATGGACGCTGTAAGATGCATTTTTGAGACATCGGGATTGTGGCATGCTCCGAAGCCAAGCCATGGCCAACTCATGCTGAAAAAAAACGGAGGACCCGGAGGGACCGGAGGAGGGACTGAATCTTTCGGCATCTGTCCGCATGTCACTGAGCGTTCCCGCATGTCTTCCAATGAGTCGGACCAAGAGGATCCACCACAGTAGTTCCCCAATGCCTGCGATCACAAACGCATAAGAGCCGTTACACACGCATAAGAGGACTTTTGACTACTCTTGCTTATGCTGATGACTTTCAACGCATCCCTGCTCATGTGCTGCACTTCTGCTGCCTCCCCTTGTTGAATATGCTTGGATCAATAGCCTCTGGCTGTTGACCATCTTCGCAGTGAAGGGTTTGATGTTACCTTCTTTGAGTCGTTGCATTCTTGCATTACTTTATCGTACTCTACAAAGGTAGCCAGCTCTTTTGACACCGCACTGTGCACTCGTCATATTTCTTGAGGTTCAAATCAGCAACATTGTACCTTCATTCTGCTGATATCTGCTGTTTCTATTGAAACACACAACTTACCAAGGGGTTAAAGTGCCAAGAGCTGAAATACTAGCCGGGTTGGGTTGCTAGTTTAAACATGCTTAAGCACTCCATATCACTCCCATCTTCCATCTTGCGTCGGCGAGATGCTCCGCCTGAAAACTCCAACGTTCGTGGAACTGGTTCCAAAACATGCGTGCCCTGCCAGCCGAGTTGCAGGGATCACGATGCGAACCAAACGGCACTGGGTTCCGTTGACCTCTACGCCTACGACTCATGAGGAATCCTCAGGAAGACCAGGAATGATCTTACAGGCCGCATGTATGTCTGGCACATTCGAGATCCTGAACCGTATGTTGAAATTTGTCGCACACCTCTTGTGTTTTCTCATTGATGAGATTGTGGACTCAATCCCAACCCTTGCATTGCAAACGCAATCTCACACTGCAAAAGCACTCTGGTGGCTTGGAGGACTCAAGAAGGAAGCGCACTTTAATGGTGTTCCCCCCATCGCTCTTGGCACTTTGCTGCAAAGTACTGGATGCTCAATGTTCAAGACTCAAGATTCATCACAGCACGGCTCTCTGCCACATGGATCCGCCCAAGCAAAGAACTTGCATGGAGATACTTGCACCTTTGCACTACGGATCCTTCTTGGCTGTAAACCGCCTTAATCTATCTAAATATATACTGTATACACACACACACCCTGTTAATACAGTATCTGTTTAATCCGCTCGAAATATGTCAATAGTATCTTGCGACAACCTCCAACACAATGAACCATAATGATACTTTAATCATCCCTAGCATTCCCTTTCCGACAACACAGCAGACCTAGCACTCAAATTAGCCAGCGGGGCATGATGAGGCCAGTTTGGCCAGATGGCTTTCGCTTGTCCTGACAATCTGACAATCCGAACACATCGGCGTGAAGTAAGTCTCGACAAATAGCGTAGAACCACACGTGGAATCCCACAAGAAACACCTGCACGACCTCTGGCGGAACCTGACCTCATCTCCCCCATCGTCTGACTGTACCGTCACGCAAAAGAACTCAGCACATAAGCTCTCTGTGCTATCCGCAAACCATTCCAGCTAAACCTGCCTCGGGCATGAAGTATCTCAAGATCTCGCGCCCTTGGGCATCAATGACCTGCAACGCTGCAACACGGTAATTAAGACTCCCAAACAAAAGCAAGCAATGCCTCCGCCACATGAGCTCGCATGACAATCATGGGTTTGTCTCAAAAACACACACACACACACCACCACTCAGACTCACACACCCCAACCAAAAAGGGGGGAATCGAGCAAATTAGGAAGCTACTAGGAACAAGTGCATCGCTACTAGTAACAAGTGCCTTACTAGTAGTAACAAGAAACTATTAGAAACAAGTGCCTTACTACTAGGAGCAAGAAACTACTAGGGGCTCCTGGCCTTACTAGTAGTAACAATTTTTGCTACTAGAAACAAGTTTGACCAAGACCTGTTGACTCTCCCCATCGGAGAAGGTCCGGCCGTGCAGTGCGGCTGCTGGACCGTGCTGTAGTCACTCCCCTCGGTGCTCACGTGTGCCACGAGGAACGCCACGGAGACCTCAAGGATCAAAAAGGCAGCTTGTCGTTTCTGACAACCACGAGGGTCAAAGATAAGTGTTTTATTGCTTCGTTACAGAAATCTGCAATATTTATAAAACTGTTGAGGATCGAGGACAACAGCTGCTGATTGGTTAGGGTATATTAGTGATTGTTGGTGTCTTGTCCACCAGCTGCTCACCTTTACTAACAAATATCAGTTCTACATGCTGAGAGAATTCAGCGGAAGAAGAGACTAGCAAAACTCAGCCAGAACCTAGAACGCGGTTCACCTTGCCAATTTCTGAAGAAAAGGCCACCCAGCCAAAGCGTTCTTTCAGCGTTGCTTCTTTGGATGTAGTCTGAACTATCATGGTGAACGTCAAAGCATTGCATTGCAATACCAGCAGTATCTTTGGAAACCTAGAGATTACTTCTTTACATACCTTCTTTTTTGAACGATTTTAACACTGCAATGTACACTGTACCTGTGGGAAACTTCGCCACCCTCCAATCAATCAGTGTGACCTCAAGCCCTCGCAGGAAACACTGGCGCACAAATCAGCGCAGTCACCCTTACAAAAACACTGCACCTGCAATCATGTGCCCTGCCTACACTGCTACACCGCATCGTACACATGTGCAAAATCCTGGCAAAATCTGGACTGGCACCTCGATCGGGAGCAAGTCAAATTCTACAAACACTCCGGCGGAAAGAGCACCATGGCCTGCAGGTTCCGCAGTTCTGCAAGCAGTTCCCTTTTTGGAGGACCGCACCCCCAAGGTTTGTGCTGGCCTTATTCCCAACAGCATGACTGTTGGGTTTCAATCTCTAGGTCCGGGAGTGGTGCCGCCTCCGACTGCGGAGCCCAAAATCCGGAACCGGAACCCTGGACCCTGGAACCCTGGAACCTGGAACCCTGGAACCCTGCAACCCTAGAACCCTGGAACCCTGGAACCCTGAAACCCTGGAACCCTGAAACCCTGGAACCCTGAAACCCTGGAACCCTGGAACCTTGGAATCGTGGAACCCTCAAAATGTGAACGCTAGAACCCTGAAAAGGTGAATGCTCATGTTGGGGGGGGCAGGGCGGCGCATGAAATCAAATCTTGAATTTTGGAACCCTGGAACCTTGGATCTTTGGAACCTTGGAACCCTGGAACTCTGAAAAAGGCTCCTGAAAGCTTCGCAGCCGAAATTGATACGCGTGGAAAATTTTTGACATGCTTAAGCATGTTTGTCAAATTGTCTTGGCTGTGCTTGCGCAATCATTGAACGGGAGGATGCTGCGATGAAACGTTTTGCTTGCTACATTTGCAGTTGTGTTCTTCAAACAGAGAAAAACAAAACTTGCAAACGCGGAATCCTTTCTGGTTTGTGCAGTCGCTGTATCACTGCTTGATGGGCTGCGGGTGATGGCACGTGAGCCATGACATTAGGGGCCTTTAGGGTATGCGCGAACTTGGATTGGCCTCTGAGATTTGGCTTGCCTACGCTTTCAAAGAACCATTTGCAAAATATGTCGTTTGGCAAGGTGCATGTGGCTTTGACATTGAAGGCCAGATCAGCATTCATGATTTCCTTCCTGCTTGGATTGGTATTTTTTGGGCTTCTAACATTTGGGTTCCCTGTATTTTCCAAACGCTTTGCGACATTTTGTTTGGCAAGATGCGGTTGGTTTTGAGATTGAAGGCCCGATCAGCATCTCTGATTTGCTTTGTGTCCTGCAATTCCAGGTTGATTTGCTAGCGACGATGCGACGTTTCGACGACGCCACGACGTGACGACGCCACAACGTGACGACGCGACAACGACGCGAGTAAAACTGCAAGGATGGTTTCGCTTTAGCCCGAAACGTATTATACAAAATTATGTTTTGACAATTGTTCTTTCTAAAGATTTGGAAGTTTCGAAACATATATAGCTTAGTCCTTGAGTTCTTTCCTTTTTCCATTTTTTCTAAAGTGTGTTTGGCCTATCAATTTTTCAAGCCTTGGTACTCACTTTTTTTACACGCAAGCTGTGAACTTTGGATTCTCGCAACTTGACGCTAGCTTGCCACACTTACTTTTGTGGCGTAAGAAAAAGCGGACTTGCATGCGGTGCTCACTTTGACAATCTTTGGTTTGGAAGACCAAAAATTTGGCAGCATTTCTGTGAATCTTTGGCGACTCTCCGTGCACAAGCCGTTGACATGACTTTGAGGTAGGGGGGTGAGGTATGGAGTAAAGTAGGGAGTGAGGTAGGGAATGAGGTATGGAGTGAGGTAGGGAGTGAGGTATGGATTTGTTTGCCCTTGCCATGAACGCCTTTCGTGGCTTTTTTGTCCAGCGATTGCAAGTTGAAATTGAACGCCGTTTCGGCCAGCAATCTTCTGAAACAAAGTGAGGCGTTGAGTGATTTCCAGACAGTGTTTTTGCTTAATGCGCCGGCTATGAGGTATGGATGGAGGTAGGGAGTGAGGTAGGGAATGAGGTACGCGGTAGGGAGTGAGGTATGGAGTGAGGTATGGGTGGTTGAACCGCCCTCCTTGTGGTTGAACCACTTGTTCTTTGTCTTCACTTTGTTTGCCCATCCGCAACCTGCAACGCTGCCTTGTGGGCATCATATTTGATCACAATGGTTCGGCGCAGTATGTTTCGTTAGCTTGCAAAGTTTCAGGTCCGAGCTAAAACCTTTCCAAGGTCAGGTTCTCAGAACCTTCGGCATGTGTTTTCGCAAATTAAATTGCTTCTCAAAGATTGACAATTGTTTTTTCTAAAAACATAGAAAAAGCAAATAAATACGCTTGGCGAATACTGCGGCTACCAAAGATTGCTCGACAGCTTTATAGCTAGAGGGTGGGGGGGGCAGGGCGTTCAATTAATTCGAATTTTAAGATGATGTTCCTTTTACATTTTCTAGGCAAACGCTGACACCAAGGCTTCTTTGTGAGCAGTGGCTAATTGAAGCACTGCAGCTTTGCTTCTGAAGCCCGCTTGGGCTAGCTTTGCGAGTAACCGCTCAAGCCAATGATTAGTTTTGACACCGGGGCCAACATTTCTGTTTTGTGTCATACAGAAAAACCACAATACAAGTAGCAAGGAAAAAGGCCTGCCCGTTGTATGCCCCCTTATGATTCACAACTAAGAGTGTTTTCCATTACGTAAAGATCAGAAAGCTTTCCTTTATTTCAACCGGATCATCTTCTTTCTAGGATCGTCTATTTAATAACACATTGGTAGCATTTCACTGTTCAAACAGAAATCTTTTGAAGCATGAAATTGCCCCGCCACGAAATCTTCTGACCGGCGATGATCTTTCTCCAATGTGGATATAAGAACAAGAAAATCTTCTTCTGGCTGCAAAAATGCGAAAGAAATTCGTCGACTGCAGAGCCATGAGACGCTCCCGAAACAATCTCAGAAAGCTGGGGCTAACAATTGCTGCTGTTGGGTTGCAAAGCTGGGCTAATTTTTTAAGGTTTACAGCTACTGTATATTGATGGAACGTCATTGTAAGAAAACCACTGAATCCTCAAGGTTACTCAAGGTTCCAAAAAGAGTGGAGCATCCACTCGTCATATACACTCGTCTTGACAGCCCTCGTCTTTACAGGACTTTCCAAAGAATCCCCCACTGCGCCTGTGTGGAAGGCTCCCTTGATCGTTTCACCATCCTTGGAGACCTTGCCATGAGAAGGCGAAGCCGGTGGCCAAGCGGAAACGCTGAGATTGTGTCAGTGAACAAAACGTAGATATGATATGCTTGAAATGATCAGGAATAAGTCCTCTTGCAAATCATCCTTGCATTGCCTTGCAGAGTTGTGACTCCAAAAGAGTTTCTCCGAGCGCCCAGGCTGTTGAAATATGGTGACCATCCATACTAAAGAAGACCTCAGGCAAACAAAACTGTTGCCAAACATGCCAAAGCAAGTCAAGAGTTGTTGTTTTTCCCGGTGCGCATGTGATCATTCCACACGTACGAAATTTGCACACAGCGATGAGGGGTAATTATGTCCTTTTGGGAATTGTTAGAAAGTATCGTGCCCTCAGTTGCAGGGGTTGACCACATTATTCTGATGTCTAAAACTCTCGATAATAATTTCGAGGGAGGGCGTCTGTTTCAAGATTATTCCGAGGGCCCCTCTAACACCACCCTCTTCTGACCCCTGGCTAAAACTTATAGTAGTTCAGTAAGATAGAAAATACTCCCACATTTTTTCAAACAGAAGATCTCTTTTTGTTTGTGTGTTTTGGGCAGTGCCAAATGGATCATTTGCCTCATTCAATGGATCAACGCCCACCTAGTTGGTAAGAACTAGATCAGATTGCTATCTTCTCTTTTCGCACCAACCGCGCAGTTCAAACAAAACAGGAAAGGAAACAAAGGGGAAGAAAGCGGAAGGGGAAAAGGAACGTGAAAAGGACAAGAAAAATGTGCCGTCTATTTAGAAGAGCCAGGGCTGCAAAATACCACAACAAATTCCTGTAAAGATCCTTCCAAAAATATTCACAGGCCCAGTATGGTGCCCCCTATACAGAACCGATTTGAGGATCAAGCCAACGCAACGTCAATCTTTGAAGTTTTGTCGTCGAAGAAATCCCAGCCTCGGTGACGATTAAGCAGGAATGGGTGGAGAAACCCGAGCCACACCCGCAGTGCGGCTTGATTGAGTTGGATTGGAAAGGCCCAAAGCAAGAAAGACTTACTGACATCTTGTATGATTGAACCTCTATGTCATACTATTGAGTACGGGTTTGCAAAATTTGAAAGGTACTGGTTTACAAGTGAGAAAATCACTTCTTGTATATGGGGTGTGTGCATGTGTAGTCTAAAGTTAAGAATATCACACTTAAACGTTCAAGCCTCTTTTCTCTCCTCCTGCTGGCTGAATACCAAAAAGTGTTGGAAGCGTGTGACCACTGATAATCTTGATGCGGACGTATACATATTGGGTTTGTACAAAGAGAACCACTTTTGATTAGGGTCAAACTGCGAAACGGCCAGCTGCTGGGCAGTTACTGGGCTTCGCCGCCAACGCCCACGAAGACTCGAGCGGGTGTGCCCTGGACCAAACCGAGATGACTCAGCGTGCTCCGAAGAGAAGTCCCTAGTAGCGTCCTTGCTCCTAGTAGTAAGGCCAAGAGCCCCTAGTAGCGTCCTGTTGTCAGCTAACGTTCCACATGGAACATTAAAAACATTCGCCCTTCTCAATCTGTAGAACATTCCGGACTAGATGGCTGCCCCTTCCAAAACAATAAGCCGGCTCAAGGGACATCAAAAGAACATGGAGTTCATCTCTGTAGTGACTCTAGTGTCAGGCTGATAGCCACCAACTTTTATGAGCAACTCAAGTACAAGAAACCTTACTTGTCTAATCACAACTATATCGAAGCCAGGTGGCCTTCGCTGTGTGGAAGACAGGGCAGTCGGCCACCGACCCTTTCGACATCGCCTGAGCTTGACCACAACCACACGTCTGCACCGAACCCTTAGTTGCATCACACCACAACCCCACCAAGTACGAGCCTTTTGGGTTGTGAAATTGCTTCGAACTGTGCCATGTTTTGAACCTGGATTCTTCGTAGGAGCACACCTCTCGCAGGTTTTCTATTGTGTTCTTTTAAAGTCGTTTTGACCCCCTACCAAGCTCAAGGCTACGAAAGAGGCTTGCGCTCGCTGCTTCTTCGGGATCGAAGGAAGCACCTGCGACGGAGTGTCGGTCGAACCACCGAACCCGCCGGCGGAACCCGGCGAGCAGCCGTTCTGCCCGATGAGAAATCCACTGCGATGCAATTCCTCTAGAAACATTTCCAAACTTGCCAAAGCAAGTGCATGAGCCATTGAAACTATCTGAAGATCTATGCCCATACCACCACTCCTGCTGCAGGAAAATGGAGTATATATATATGAGTATGCAAGGACGTCGTTGCTCGAAATGAGCAGCCACTCAGCTTCTTTCGAGAACTTTGGGCCTCCTTGACCACTTTGTTCAGCATCTCTCCAGCATCCTGCTGGTCGACCCTTCTGGATGGTCCACCAACTTCGCCGCTTCTTTGGTGCCCAAAGACACACACATATATATATATATATATATCCACCGGCCCCGGCCGCAGGAAGGGGGAGCGCGCGAGGGACTACAGGTGGGGGAGCCTGCGTCATGCCATGGTTGGTGGTCCTGTGGCCGCTGCTGAGAGAACAGCCAAGCCGAAGTGGGTCTGGGAAAAGCCGTGGCGTGACCAGGTGGTCGGGGCCAAGATGACCGAGACAAATGGAAACAAAAAATTTCTTTTTTTCTAGGGATTCAGAGGCAGCGTTTGGCAGCGAAAGTGCAACCAGGGGAGGCTCGTTTTGGACCAGAATTAGATTGAGAAAAGCTGTGGCGTGACCAGGTGTTCGGGGCCAAGATGAGCGAGACAAGCGGCAACAAACTTTTTTTTCTAGGGATTCAGAGGCAGCGTTTGGCAGCGAAAGTGCAACCAGGGGAGGCTCGTTTTGGACCAGAATGCAGATGCAGATGCATTAACAAACAGCCGCCTGCGCACATCCCTAATCATTTGGGGTCTGAACTGAATGACGTGTCACACACGATGCCTTTGCTTCCATCATGAGGGGATCATCTCCCGGAGCTTCCTGCAGTGTCTTGCAGCGCAGTAGTTGAGCCTCGGATCGACGGCGAGGTTTCCAGCGACCCAAACACTCAGGCACCTTCTAGAGATCTACCGTGACCACGGCTCAAAACAGGAAGCTGTGGGGATGCTGTGGTTGCAACAAAATCCGTCGTTTCTAGCTCGGGCCTCCAAAGTCTCTGGAGTCTGGCGCCGCCGGTTTCCATGTCTGTCGGTTTGCTTTTGGCCAAGTCTCTTGAATCTCCTGCAAACGCTCGGAGTAAAAGGTGCAGACTGCGCTGCTGTTGGTGTCCAAGTTCATGTTCTTAGTTGAAACTGCCCGTTCTTGGTGGAATGGTGGGTCACAATTCCTATGCACCCAACACCGCAAGGTGCAAGCTGTCAGCTGCTTCTTGCAAACGTTTGTTTCCTGGATTCACAACAACAACGTCAACAACCACAACACCACCAACAACAACAACAGCAACAACAAGAACCAGAACAACGACAACAAGACCGACAACAACAACCACAAGAACACCAACACCAACAACAACCACGACCAGAACAACAACAACACCAACAACAACACCAACACCAACATCAACACCAACAACAACCACAACAACCACAACAACAACAACAACAACAACAACAACAGCACCCACGACCACCACCACGACCACGACCACGACCACGACTACGACCACGACCATGACCACGACCACGACCACAACCACCGCAACCATAACAACTACAACAACAACATACCACAAAGCCACTCCAAGGATCCGGTGGGAAGTTCTTCAGCAGGTTGACGCCGGCCCGGGACCCTGGTCCCGTGCAGCAGTACTGAAGACTCATCTTGGCCGGATATGAAGTGTGTTCAAGGTACAGCCGCATGAAATTGCACGTCGAGAATTGCCCCATGCTGGTCAAGTTGGCCACATCCTCAAAGGCGAGGACATGTCTTCTGAGGGTCATTGGTTGGTCCCTGGAAAAACCCACTGGCGACTAGGTATAATGAACTGCCAGACCTCAATCCTCAAAGGCAATGACATGTCTTCTGAGGGTCATTGGTTGGTCCCGGGCAAAACCCGCTGGTGACTAGGGATGATGAACAGACCTTAACCGCCTTGACATGGCATGGCGACAGCTGACAAGGGGCGTCGCAAAGCTCGCGCTTCGATCTCCACTGCTTTCCCGTCTTGAGACGGGGCCGCACCGGGCGGCCGCTCAGAAACCCTTGGCACAGCTTCCAGCCGCCCTTCTTCTTCTCCTTCAGGTCCTTGCGAACCTGGAAGTGCATCCTCCGTCCAGGGTTGAAGCTCGTAGACAAGAACGTGTGCGGCTTCTTTCGGCCGATTGCCCACTGGAGCTTCTGATACCTTGGTCGGCTGTGCCAAGTGCTTCCACAAAAGCATGCGTCCATCCATCAAGCCCTGCACCCACTCATCAAGCCATGCGTCCACGCACCCAACCTTCTACCATCCCTCCACGGACCCATATCCTTTTCTATCCATCTTACGGCAGACGAATCCGTCTCCGTCATGAACCCTCCTTACCACACCCCCCAACACAAAGCCGACAAAAAGAGCAACCTCCAGTCGGTTGCTGGACTTGTAAGTCTTTTCGTGCCCGTTGCTTGCAATCTTTCCACGGTGTGCTTGTGTCCATAATGAGATGGTCACGAAAATGTCTCTGTCACTGACGTCCCTTCCTCCACCCCTGCTGTCCACAAACGCCCCAAGCTCCATCCTATGCTGGGCTTTTGTCATTTAAAGATTTTCAGGAGAACTCACATTTGGACATCCTCCTGCCAGCCCTCCTCTGACACCCTGATGTCTCAACAAGGCGCACGTAGTGCGAGGCGCCAGCCTTCTTCCTGGGCGAGGAGCGAGTGGCGGTGACCCGCCAGGGAAGCCTTTAGGGCTAGTGGCGGTGGCCTCTCGGGTAAGAGGAGACGGGCCGCTTCAGCTCAAAAGCATGAGAAAGACTTCACTCTCTAGCTGCGAAGCGTTATGCCGAGGACTTCGCAGACTCTAGGAGCTATTCTTGACTGCACAGGACTTCTCAGTGGAGTGGCTTACAGCCAACAAAGAACTTCTAAATGCTGAAGTGGCAATCCAAGTCTCTGCAACAACGACTCAGCCATCTGAGCTGCGCAGAACACTACCATCAGGTAGGAGTTGAGGAAGCGGTTGGTCGGGAAGCGCTGCAGTACACGATTCTCGTGCGATCCGTGGGGTGGTAGCATACTTTCACGGTGTCCAGCATGCCACCCACCGTCCACGGACGCTTCGGCTTGGCGCCCTCAATCTCCATCCAGAAACGCTTCCGCTGCAATTCCTGGAATTGCTGCGGAAACGAGGTGTAGCCGCCCCCGATCTCGTTCAGACCCTGAAAGAGCGCCCAACTTGGCTCAACCTAGGGCGAAGATGCGCACCAGATAGCTTCACTTTGCTCCATATAGGCCCCACCAAGGCCAACATAGGCCGACCTAGGCCCAACATAGGCGCAACTTGGGCCCAAGATGTGCCCAACATAGACCACATGGGCTCAACTTGGCCGAACCTAGGGCCAAGATGCGCACCAGATAGCTTAACTTGGCTCAATATAGGCCCCACCAAGTCTCAAAGAGAGAGAGAGAGAGAGAGAGAGAGAGAGAGGGAGAGAGAGAGAGAGAGAGAGAGAGAGAGAGAGAGGGGGAGAGAGAGACAGAGAGACAGAGAGAGAGAGAGGACCCAGCCCTGCACATACCCAAACCCAAATAGGCCGGCGCCCGGCTGTCAGGCGTAAGCCTCATAAATCCGGGCGCCGGCCAGGACGCCCGTGGCATGCCCGGAGGGCCTTCGGTGGTAACCGAAGGTTATAGACGGGCGCGCCCCCTGCCGCCGACCCTCGGTCCCAAAACGGGCGGACCACCGGGTCACCTGTAATTTACAGTGTATCGTGTGTGTGTGTGAGGTATAAAAAACACTGTGCTTTACAGGGTTTATTGCGCATATCGAAGTACGACGCGGGGAAAGGAAGAAATGCAAAGATGCTGTGTTTTTCAAGGGTGGTGTCGGTAATGCGCGCCGGGCGGACAGGCTTAATCGACATTTTGTGGGTAGAGGCCCTCCAGACGACTTACATTGCCTAACATATCCTCAACATAGGCCCAAGATAGCCAACATATCCCCAACATATGCCCAACATAGCCTCCAAGATGGCTCAACATAGGGCCAACATAGGCCAACATGGGGCCAACATAGGCCCAACATAGGCCCAACCCAGGCCAACATAGGCCAACATGGGCCTAACATAGGCCAACATAGGCCCAACATAGGCTCAACATGGGCTCCAGATGTGCCCAACATAGACCACATGGGCTCCACTTGGCCCAACCTAGGGCCAAGATGCGCACCAGATAGCGTAACTTTGCTCCATATAGGGCCCTCGTCTCCGACGCGGACCAGTTTCCGGCGCCACCAGGGCCCAGTACCCCGATAGCATAACGTGCACCCGACCCAGCCCTACACACACCCAAGTGGGCCGGCGCCCGGCTGTTAGGCGTAAGCCTTTAAATATATACATATATATATATATATACATATATATATGTTTCTTTTTTTAAAATGGCTGTGGGTCAAACCGGGATACCTTGGTTGACCATGGTTGACCTATCTGGAAGGTCAAGCCACGTGGTGGACCAGGGCTCCAGGTTTTGACCCATCCCCATAATATATATATATATATTTTTTGTATAATATGTATATTGTTTTTCTTTTTGTTTCTTTCGTTTGCTGGTTCAAAGATGAACGATGGGTGATTTTTCAAGAGGCCCCGCCAAATATACGTGTTCAATTATTCACAAAGATCAGATTCCAAGCAAGCTGTCCATGAAGTGCTCGGCATGTGTCCAGTCGATCTTTGGAACTAAACTCCTGGCAGCTTTGGAGCATGGTGGGCATTTTTCATTTCAACTCAGGCAATCTCAGGTGATGAGCTGCGAAAGGTGGCAAAAGCAAACTCCACTCATTGCAGGGCAGTCCTTTGGTTGTGCAAATGGACTGAAGGATTTCTCATGGTCAATGGCGGCTCGTCCGCCAATGCTATTGTTTTTCTGTCGAAGTACTACTGACTGGATGAAAGAAACTTTGCCAGGATCACCAACTGCTCCAGTCCTGACATCAGTCATGCAATGAGTTTGATCATCGTTCCGAGTCCTTTTCGCACCAGGAGTAATTTCTGCAAGGGAAATCAAAAGGGCTAAACTCTTGCGATCTCTTGCGTAAAAGCGAGTTTGATACATGGAGATTACCATAGAAGGTTTTTCCAAAGGCTCTCTGAAAACCGGTCTTCCAAGACTCCAAAAACAGCTAGCAACTCATGCAAATGTCCTCTTCATTTTTTCATGGCCAAGACTGAGGTTCCACACCAATCGCTTCAAGTAGGCTACTACTCCCATCTTGGCGTTTGGAGGCGGCTCCTTAGTGGACAGTTTCCTCCAGATTCTCCACTCAACCGTCATCACAGTGTTCGCTTTGTTCAGTTGAAGTTATCCAATCAATTCCCAGGTTGAAAAGCCTGGTGCTCCATGTTGGTCGAACCATCGGTGATCACAAGATTGTATATATATATATAAATGTATATATATATATATATCGGGAACATCACTTGGTGGGAAAGTCCTGCAGGGGAGACAAAACAAATCAAAACAGTTGAATAGTGTTTCTTTCCTTTGGCTTCGGTGGTGTGCAGGACTCTCTGAGCACCGTCACGGCATTGATCTCACCGAGCATTGCATTGCCGTTGAAGTCGACCTTGGCAGTAGGCGTTTTCATGGATCCTGGTCCAGCAACGCAGCATTCTGGATGTGGGATCGCTCCCGAACAAACTAAGTAGTGCGCTGCCACAGACATGTTGTGGGCAATTTCGCCTGGCGAACATGCCGTGGGACGAACTGTCCAACAGTCTGCGGCCACAGCGTGCCTAGCAGTGTGTGCGTAGACGGAGTCACCACATAGATGATCATAGCCACATCCACCGGTAGTATGTCCAAAGATACCCATATGGTGCCACCTTCAAGTTCAGGATTCAGGTACTGAAGAAATCCGACAAATCGCTTTTCCACATTTTCCACTGAATACTTCGAAACAACTACGTATGCTGCATGCTCACTGCTTGGACTGGACGAGAGATGATGAACAGAGCCAAATCATTGCTGAGGAACGTGAACAAACTGAGGTCTAAACAGCAAGCGTCCTTCTGACTCCTTGGTCAGAAAAGACTGGAGATGGCCAGGACCATCTGCCATGCAAAGTTGTGCACCAGTGTTCAAAGGTTTTCAATAAAGCCTGTTCCTAAATGATCCTAAATGTACATGGCAAACTTGTGACCCGAACGATTGTGGAGGCTAACATAGTAGCTATGACTTTCAAACATCTACACGTTGTTCGCAACACCCATTCTTGTGCATCTCCCCGCTCAGTGCAGCACTGAGGCGGTGCTCTGGCCGTGAGCCTCACCGCCGACCTGCACGTCGAATAGGTCCCTCGAGTAGACGGACCCGTGGGCGGTGTCTACATCGTCAACATGTTACTCGTAGCGTCCGATCGCTCCTAGTAGCGTTCTTGTTCCTAGTAGTAATGCCAGGAGCCCCTACTAGCATCCTTGCTCCTAGTAGCGATGCCCTTTGCTCCTAGTAGCGTCCGATCGCTCCTAGTAGTAAGGCCAGGAGCCCCTAGTAGCGTCCTTGCCCCTCGTAGTAAGAAAGCTCCTAGTAGCGATGCCAGGAGCCCCTTGTAGCTTCTTGTTACTAGCCTTTAGAAGACCTATGAAGACCTACTAGCGATGGCCTCAACCCTAGTAGAGACTCTGGACAGGTGTGTCATTTGTGTCTACTCGGTTCCCAGTTTACTAGAGCCTCTTTGGGCTAGCGGCTATGATTTATGATCAGACTTGCACATTTTCTTGCAAACCTGGTGCATAAAGAAGATCACTTCTTTCTGTTACTAAGGTGTAGTAAAGTGTAGTGAAGGCCTAGTGGAAGGGAAAACAGGCATCTTAAGCCGTGTTATTTTCATCAGTGTTCTGAACGAGCAGTCCGCTGCTCGCCAACTGGGGTCCAAGCTGAAAGCACGTGATGTTCCGAGTGTGGACCGCATCCTGGCGTGAGCCACAAATTGACAATGGTGGTGCCAGATGGCAGACTGAACACGCATCTTCCAGCAGACTAGTCGCTCTGCTGCCTTCCCGTTTCAACGAATCGGGGCTCTGCTCCAAAAGGATGTGCATGCAGTCATGCTACTGCGCAAACCCTTGTATAGGCTCAGGGGACAAAAGTTGGGGGACAGTCCGGTTTCGGACAACTCTTGATCTCAACTAGTCACTAGTCATAGCGTGGCAGAATCCAAGTCCGGCTTTAATTAGAATTCGAAGCCGCTCATCAAACTGAACCCATCTCGTTCACCTGTTCCATTTGCCGACCTACGGTCAAAGGGGATTGTCTTTGGAGTTGAATGGATCTTCCGATCATTCCATTGTTTTCTGCAGCTTCAGGATGTCAAAGATCGCCCCCTGGGAGTGTCACCACGATCTTGCCATCCGTGTTCACGAGCAGCGCCTCGAAAAAGCGCCCATTGCAACCCGAGCTTCCCAAGAGAAACGTGCGGATTGGAATGTCAAAGCCCAGACCCCTCCCGACGGAGACGAATCTTTTCTACTAAAACAACACAGAGGCGGATACACCAATAAAAAGGAGAAACCCATCTGAACAGGTATGAGATGAGTCATTGGGTATGCGAGCTTTTTCACTGCCAAATGTCCTTGAAGACAGGCTAAAGGACCTGCCTTGAGCAGCAGTTGCTGCTTCATGGGTTCATCAGCCCAATCCCAACCTTGGTGGATCTGCGCGGTTGTGACTTCAGTCTTTGTCTGAGCTCTTCGGCCAAAATCCCTCCTTCCCAGCTCCGGAGGACATAGGAGTGCTTACTACAGAAGAAGAACATGTTGCGATGTTCGCTTGACCAAGCAATACCAAGCAACAGGCTCCACTCATGTTAGCTGAAGGCAAGGCCACGGTCTCTGGGAGGATCACAGGGGCAGAAGGCGCAGGAAGCATGCAGCTTGGCCAAAAGACATCTGTGTCAATGGGTTCAGATTGGAGCTCGGACATCCCCTCACAACCTCCAAGGCCCCAGCTGAGCGCAAGGGCACAGCTGGAATCTGGTTTTAAAATCACCTCCTGAAGAGGTCGTGTTTGGTCGATTCAAGCAACTGACCATCAGCAAAATCACATCAAAGCAACTGCACCAAGTTAGTCCAGCTCCGGAGATGTCAAGGCTCTATTTGAGCTTCACTCTTGCTCCCCTGCCCGTCCTCAAGCAGTTGTGGCCTGCAGCACAGTCCATCCAGAGGTGGGGAACAGGAGAACTCCAGCAGAACCATACCATTTGGTTTTTGGAAGGCGGCGAAGAGGCGGCCTGAAAAGGAAAAGACCTCCGAGTCCCAAACAAAAGGAATGTGATCGAATTGCAGGCTTTGAAGTTCAAAGTGCCAGCATCCCTCTCCCGGTCCCTCTTCTCCAACATTTCACTGCAGCCTGCCACTCTCCTTGACCTCCCTGTCCCTGTCTTGCCTCAAACAGCTCAAGTGCTGAAGTTTCGCTCTCATCCAAAACGAGCGTTTTTGTGAAACGGTGAAGAACTTCGTGAAACAAGAAGTGAACGGGACGGTCAATCCATGCACGTGACTCCGCTCGTCTCGGCCTCTTGGTCTGTATTGCGGCCGACCTCACCCTTTCAGGGTGTGCACGATCATGCATCGCCTGCAGGCGGTCCAATTCGATTGCGAACCGAGTCGGCTTTCTCCAAACTTGGGCTGAGCCCGGTTCTGTTGATTATAGCTATGAAAGCTACCACTTTTGTGCATCTGATACCCTAGGACTTGCCTGGTATTGGATGAACATCATTGGATGAAAGGGCTGATTTTGTCATCCATATATAAGTTTGGAAGATACATCCTTGCAAGCGCACCTACCACCTGTGACCCGTGAGGAAGTTGGGTGCATGGCAAACTCTTCTCTGATGGAACCATCGTAATTTGGAGCCTATTTTGGTTAAACAAACATCCACAAATATCACACATCGACAAACACCTGTCTTGTGTCTCTTGTGCATGCAAGGTCAGGTCTAGTCAAGCATCACCTGAATCGCTTAAGGCATTTATGTCTATCTAAGGTCGTTCTGTAGAAGATCCCAAGAGATGGGGCCTTGGTTTTTGGCTTGAATTGAAAGGACACATGTATCACGATGAGTAGGAAATCAGTGACAGGGTCATGATTCCCCCCTCGTCCCAACCAAGCGCCCAGTCCTGCAGGGCAGCCCAACCTGACCCCACTCGAAAAAGGCGGCCGACGTTCTGATGAAAGAAAAGGTCTTCATGATAACAAAAGTATACACAAGTCGATTTATGTTCGGCTAAGGAGTCAATAGATGTCAATAGACTTGATCAACCTTGCACTCCACTGGTTTGGACGCAGGGTTCAATGGAGTGTGGCTCATCTCCTGTGCTCCACACGTTGTTCCCTCTTGGCATCCTTCTTGTCAGCTTCATCTGCCTCTTCCCAGACGATCAAAAACGACGCATAAGATGCTGGAAAGAATGCCCAAGGATGCTCTAGGATGTTTTCAGGTCGCAGTCAAGTGACGTGAAAGTCATTTGGTCAGAAACTCTAGACTGGCGCGTGCACAACACACCCTTCACTTCTATCCAGTTGTTCGTATGGTGATTAACAAAATACCTGAATCGTTGAAGGCGCATCCTCTGGCAAAATTAGATGTCTGGCTTAAAATAAGTTCAAGGGTACTGTAAAAAGAATAAACGATCAATCAACACAAATGAAACAAAAGCAAACCATACATAAAAAAGTATATAGATGATCTTCAATTTCTCGGGCATTGGACACATGGCTCCTTCTGAACGCAAATGTTCCAGGATTGTGAGACCCTTCCTGCCTGCTTTCGATGCTTGGACGAACAGTTGTCGAAGAGCTCTCGGTCTGCCTGTGGCATAAACATGTGAACGGGACCGAGTGAAGTGTCTACAATCCCTTACCAGGTTGGCACTCCACCAGCCATACGAGCTCCTCAAGTTTGGTGCATTCACCAGTGATTGGCACCTCCATGAAATTCTTCAGAACATCCATAGTTTTGGACATCACCTGGGTACAGCATAAAGTGTGTGCTTGCCTTCTACCTCTGAATCCTAAACAATGACAGTGACATACAATGACCATATTCATCGCGGATCCTGCAAAATCAAAGACATGCATCTGCATTTCACGCAAATATCCTACATGACCTCCCAGTAATAGTGTAAAACGCGTGCCAGAACAAGACTGCCAGTTCAAGAATGCCCGGAACATGCCTATGTATGCCTATGCTATGCCTTGGTATGGAAGGCATCGATTCATTATCTCGGGATGCTTTGTGCTGTGCGCCGGCAAGCAGTCCATGACGGCACTGAGACCGTGACATTTGGCCCCCATGCCTGTGAACGACTAAGAACGGGTGACGACGTGACTACATGTCGAGATGTGTCGAGAATCACTATGGTGTGACGCCCAAGAAATCCTTTAATACTTATGAGGCCAGGCGGCCTGGCTATTCATGTCTATTCGTGAGGGATATATAATAATAGTCATAATAGTATATACAGTAATAGTACTTGTCTCTCCGGTGAGTAAGCTCAACAAAAGCACGCGCCCCTCAAACAACCTTGCACGGATTCTCACGAGAAGGCCACAGCCTAAAGGGTATGCTTCAAAAAAGGTCGTGTGACAACCCCTTCACGGGTCCAGTTCGATGATCTCATCGCATCCTTTAACTGCAACATGACTGGCATGTGCGCTTCAGCCATCATAAATTCTGTGTTAATCTGTGTTTGTTCCAATTGCAAGCAACAACTCAACATAGTCGATGAATGTGGACTTTCGTTTCCACTCTTCAGGGGTCTTCCACCCTTCATGACTCTTCATGGCCTGGGTGACATTGCTGTACAAACGGCTCACCACCAAGGGCAGCTCTTCTCGACCTTCGAAGCAACAAAAGCGCTCAGCTGGAATGAATCAGGTTGGCTCAAGGTCCGGCCAGGTGTGAACACAAAATGAGAATGTTAACCTGAGCTTCTAGCCACTAGTAGTAATGGCCTCCAACCTACTAGCGATGGCCTCCAACCTAATAGCATCCTTGATACTAGTAATGGACTGATCAGTGACATCAAAGCCCTCTTGCCAGCGTCCAGCTATGTCCGGGTCGCACGTCCGAGGTCCCCAGCAGTTCTGCACTGTCGAGCGCACGGTTGGCTGATGACCTCACAAACGCTTCGCCGTTTCGCATCACCTGCTTTTCATTTCTAAGACAAGCAGGTGATGGTTTGGGTCTTTTCACTTTATCATTATTCTGCGATAGCTTTCTTCACTTCTCTTCATCCATGGATCCACACTGCTGCGGGGGAGCCCTGCAATGGCGCATTGTGTGCGTCGTGTGCGATGGCGCGTGCTATGGCGTTGTTAGGGAGTCCGACGCCAAATGCCCAGCGCCTTCTCAGCCACCTGATGCATCCAGAAACTGTGTGGGCCACACGAAGACCATTTCTGGATGCGAAGGACATGAGCCGAAGGAAGGGAGCAAGATAGGGCAACTCTGGAATGAGCAGTAACGTCCGGAGGTCAGTTTTAAGGACCCTAAGAGTCTATGAGTATCTGAGTATCAGTCTATGATTCTTCTGTGGTCTGAATCTGCTGAGAGATTCCAAAGAATCCGAGCATCGATTCCCGCCGCCTCGGAGTGACATGACACACAACACGCCGAAATCTGTTGAGCACAGGCTGCCTCGGCCGGTCGTGCGAGTCGCACGCCCCAATCTGGAGCATCTCAGGCTCCAAGCCGACGCTCCACTGATGCTTGCAACCCATGGTGATTCTCGCTGGTCACCATGCACTTGAGTGAATTTGGTCGTAGCTCGTTGGTGACTAAGTGGACTTGTGCTATCAGTACCATTGGCTTCCGAATGACTTTAAGACCTGCCATGCTGCCGCCTTCTTCTTATAGAGGTCCAAGAAAGTGGGGTGCACTATGAAACCAGGGAGATGCGCAGGGTCGCGCAAATTGATCCTGCTTGGGCTCCCCGTCTCCAATGGACTTGAAGTCCACAGCAGGCATGGTGTGGATCATGTCTTCTAACTCTCCAAGGAAGATGGTTTGCCTGAGTGATGGACCGCCCCACAATGAACTGCAAACGAATGAATGTCACGCAGGTGGAACAGGGTGTTCCCAGGAAATACGTTGTTGTCGTCTTTTCCCGTCGACCATCCAAATATCAACCAACATTCATCAAGATTCTACTTCAAGCTGATTCCAATGCACGTGAAGACCGATCCCGACACATGCAAATACGAGCGGAAAAGTTGTCTACTTCTATCTATACTTCTGGGCTTTTGTGCAAAACATTCCAATTGTATACAACTGTACAAATCCTTCCGCCAGGCCCCGCCCGCCCCTTTGCACATTGCCAGTGTCACAACGACACTGCTAGTTTGAGTTACAAATGTTACAATAGCTTCAACATGCTTCAACCGTGGACGGTGACGGTGTCGACGTTCACACAACCTGGAGTTGTTATGCTACAAAGATGACAGTGAATCGTTGTCAACATTTGAGAGGACATGGGGCCGCCCAAGGCAGTGGCATGTCTAAGGAAGGACTTGCAGTATCTGGTGTTGCTGTTGGAGCTATGCGCGATGTCCTTCGGCTTATGAACGCTAATGGCATGCAACATGACCTGCAAGTACCGTCTATTCAATTTTCACGCATTGGATGCCTTGGGTTGGCTTAGGACTGCTTAGGACATGGCCGCTAAGGCGAACTATTGTATTCATGTCATGGCTCTTGCTACTTTGGCAGTTTATGAATACATCACGTGCTTGATTTCAAAACACGTTGTTGACATGGGAGTTGATCAAAATCAGTCTGGCGACATCTGACTTACACCATCTTACACCCTGAATCGTGTGGCCATCACCTAGGCATACTTCACAATTTCTGCAGGACTACCATCTTCATACTTACCTCGTAAAGCATCAGGACGGTCGTCCTGACGGTCGTCCAACATCTCCGGACCCCACTCGGCCACCGACTTGGAGCTAGCACAGTGCGGCCAGTAGCGCAAGAGCGCTTGGGCCTAGGTTGAGGAATCGGCTTAAGATGGCTTAAGAAGGTAACTGGTCGCATGAAGAAACATCTCTAGTATTCTCTAGTCTTGGAACATAATTACTGTTCAGAAGGAGCTTCCGTCTTGGCTCAGCTAAGCACACCCTCGCAAAATCATGTCAGATGCTGTCAAAAGACACCAGCGACTTTGATCTCAATGTGTCACCAGCAAGGTCTGAGAGATCTGCGACAGGTTTGATCAGGGTGGCATCTTTCTTGCAGAAGATGCGGACCACGTCCTGCATTTTAACAGAACATAGCAAATGCAAGTTACTCTTGTTACTTGATTGGGATCTGGTGTGGGACGTGGTGGGATTGTGGAATCAAACCATCAAAACATTGTCACAACTTGCATCTACAATTCATTCCAGAGATTAAACTAAGCATTCTTACAAAAATTGGGTACATGATTCTACATTAACAGTGCAATTCTGTTTAATTAATGAGGTAAATCCAAATTTCCAAGGTCAACCGTCCTTGAGTTGAGAGTGGAAGGAAACCAGAAAGTCCAGCTTGTACAAAGGCATCAGGATCTGAAGGGGGCCAGGCTGCGAGAGGGATCAAGTGACCGAATCTGCCAGCGAGCAGAAAAAGAGATCGGTGTGAAAAGACGGTGAAATCTACCCTTTCACAGATTTATATACCCCAAATCATGGAGGAACAAGAAGCTACTATAGGGGTTCCTGGCCTTACTACTAGTAGCATTCTTGCTACTCATGAGGCAAACTGATTTACCCAATCTTTGCCCCACGCTCATAAGGGTCTCATAAGGTCCATGCATCAAAGTCAATCACATGCACCACGCGTGGCGTGGCACCTCTGTGAGGAGGTCCTTCTGCTCCTTCCTGCGACCCGGTTCCATTGATGCAGCACAAACTCCGTTTTTCTCAATCAAAGAACCTGCACGGTTTCAGTCCAAATCCGATCCGGTCCAAAACTGCTGACACCGAGCAAGTACAATGACATGGAAACGATGTCTTTCTAAATATGGGAGGATCCAACCTGCACATTTATCTCAAAGGAACTGGTGGATTAAACCATCCAACTTCACCAGGGGATACCAAGGAGGCCTGGCCCTCAATCCTCTCAAACACCTCAGCACCTCAACTTCTTGCGGTGACGGACAAACATGGGAACAAGCTTACAGCTTCCATGTACGTCAAACATGGGCATGGCCAGGCATGGCATCTTGTTTCGGTTCAAAACAGTCTCTACACCGGAAGCACTGTAAACTTGCACCCATGAACTACCGTTTTTTGCAAACCACAATTTCCATTCTTTGCTGCAGACTGGTTTCTGATCAAACAGTGTGTTGCAACACCTGCCCAACTGAAGTTCGACTCAGCGTCATTGTATCATGATGTAACATAATGTGTTGATCTTGGATGGATGGGTGACATTTTTGCAGGGCAAACCACACCCACATCAAGGTTGCTGCTTTGGAGCCAAGCCCCACTGCTCAGGCAAAGCAAAGCACTATCAAAGCTTCCCACACTGTCGCGAAACCACATACTTTTGCACGGCTGTGAGCTTGGAACGGATCCCGGTGCTCTTTTGTTCTGCCTGTTCTCGCTTGAAGCCTTCAAAATCTTCTTTCAGGAGCTAAGAAAGAGCCATGCCATCACTGAATCGCCGTTTCTTCTCGAAATGCCATGGGTGCGTGACTTGTCTCTTGCGTGACTCGTGACCGACCGTCGTTTTCCCGACCCACCTAGGATCCCCGCCGAACGTGAGGCATCTCCACACCATCCCCAAGCTTCAAGAAAGCAGCTTAAGCAGCAAGCTACAGCACCAGGTAAGGAAAGGCTTTGGAACGATGACTTGTGATTGGACTCTGAACATCGACATAAATATTTCAGCATCGCGAAAAATAAGGAATTTGCTACCATGACATGATTGATGCGACACATCGGCTCGACGGGCGGCTCCTCAGGGGTGTGGCGAAGCCACTCACGATGCGGACAGCTAGGATCTCCAGCACTTCTGACAGCCCGTAGGCAGGAGCCTTTCAGGCCCGAAGGAAGATGCAAACACCGAAGCATACCGACGGTTCAGTGTCCAAAAGAGTTTCTGCGCTTTTTTTTGCAAATGGCGAATGGCAATGGTATGCAGTGTAATGCAGTGTATGCAGTATGCTCAGTATGCACTGCTATTGTGGGAACACTGGTGGGAAACCACCACAATGGGCATCTGATGAAGGAAGAGTTGCCAGAGTCACTAGTTCAATAGTTCATCATGGTTTGTCTGTGGCTTGATGCTCAAGATTCGCCACCTTTGGAACCAAACCGATGAGCCTTCAAGAAACTGCTTAGTCAGTGCAAAAATGAGGTCAGCACCCCGTGTACTTTCTTGGTCTCCCCATGTCTCCCCAAGTTCCAAGAGTTAGTGAGTTACTGTCTAGTAAGTGAAGAGCTTCAAACAATCTGCCCTGGCCTCGCCATGTTCCAGGCTCACGGCTCTCTGGCAAAAGCTCTGGATCGATTTACGCCTGCCATAGGTGAGGCAATGCTTTGGGAGGCGTAACATGATTCGATGTAACATGGTGGTTCAGACTTGGCCACCTGCACTTCATGTTCGAGTACTGACGCCGCCTTCTCACCCCGCTGAACACCACGTTTGGACCCCCGAAGAATGCTTTTTTGAAGAGTTTCAACTCCATAATATTCGATGCCTTGTGAAAAGTTCAAACCCATGCCCGTGAATCAGTTCTTTCCTTGTTGGCCAAACAAGGTAATCACGCTTTTCTTTCAATTCGATCACCGTCACTGATGCCTCACATCTGTCTATATTGCCTTCAAAAAACGTTGATTCTTGTCAAAAAAACTAATCACATGCAAGCAATGCCAAACAACTTGCAATGCACTACAAACGTGTTCACCGCTGGTTAAACAAAAACACAAAGCACACACATGACATTCCCTCAAACAATTGACTTTCTAGAGCAAACATACTCCATCTTTTCCCTCAGCAGTAAAGCGGACTCGTGTATGTAATTGTATGATGCACTTGTTGCGGAGAATCATGCCTTTGCGGACTATTCAATAAAGCACACACACAGAATAAGGCCAACTTTCTGCTTCCCTGTTCTTCATGTCGTCCTGCCTGTCACTTAAGAGGGTTCTGCTTGACAAAGCAAATGCACAAAGGCTTGCGACCGATTCTGTCTGTGGTGGTTGTATGTGTTTGTTGTGAGTCGTGTCTCCAGCGTGAAAACCTTTAGACTCCACCCCCCGACCTTGCCCGGTCCCAACATGGCCGGAGCCACACAGTGGATCGAAAGTTACTAATCTTGCTGAAGAGTTTCGTGATGAGGTTCTTCAGCACCTCCTGGTGGCCAAATATGACGTGACGAACTCATGAGAACCGTGAGAACTGACAAACCAAGAAGTTTGAAAAACATCTTCGCTCCAAAATCATGTGGAGCATTAGAACTGTGTACTGCTCCTAGCAAATGCCCAAAGTTCGGATTTGGCTGAGAGCCAAGCGCGTTCTCTTGGATCATCTGTGTCCATGAGATTGACTAAACAAATGACAAATGGCTTGTCCTCGGCTCGAATCACATTCAAGCGCTCCCACCAGATCCGTTCATTGATCGTGTTGAGTGATTGTTGTTTGGCTGTTTGTTCTAGGAGCACACTTTGAAAATGATGCCCCACATCAGGCCGGAAGCAGAATGTGTCTCTATCCGCATTCTCTGTTTCATTTTTTTTTTGCTCGTGGTTTTGCTGACGGGTTAATGCTGGTTTGTTGGTTGCTGGCCTCCTCCTACTGCTCCTGCTGTTGGTAGCGAAGCTATCAGGCTTCTGCACTGGGGTGGGTCTGTGCCACACAAGTTAACTTGTGGCTTGCACCTTAATTTCAGTCGATGCAATCTAGCAGCCCGACAAAGGTCAAACTTTTCCATCAGCAATAAGATTTGGCTTTGGTCCGGTTCTAGTGTTTATTTGTTTCGTTGCCGCTGCTTCTGTTATTTCTCAATTCTTGTTTGTGCTCTTTCTCGTGATGCATTGATCATCAGTCACTCACACATATATCCGCCGACCCCGGCCCATAGCCAAAGCCTAGGCGGGGAGGCGCCTGGGACACCGCAGGGTGAAGCAGTTGGCCAAGCCTTGCAGAACCCTTCCAAGCACTTCCAAAGGCATGTGTGCAGGTGCATTGTGGTTGGCCGCGGCCTCTCGGTGGCCTGTCCGAGGCCTGCCTCTCCTCTTCTTATGGGCTTTTCCGAAAGCAACGTTAGACACCCACGGGCCCCGCCCTCAAACGCTTCTCGGCAGCCGGCAGGCCTGCCCCGGCCTCTCTGTGGCTGTCCGAAGCCTGCCTCTTCTCTTCACCCACGGGCCCCGCCCGCAAACGTTTCTGCAGGCCGCAGCTTGGCCCACAAAGCTTTTTCTATGGGCTTCCGAAGGCAACGTTAGACACCCACGGGCCCCGCCCTCAAAGGCTTCGTGGCCTGTCCGAAGCCTGCCTCTTCTCTTCACCCACGGGCCCCGCCCGCAAACGTTTCTGCAAGCCGCAGCTTGGCCACAAAGCTTCTTCTATGGGCTTCCGAAGGCAACGCGGCCTCTCTGTGGCCTGTCCGAAGCCTGCCTCTTCTCTTCACCCACGGGCCCCGCCCGCAAACGTTTCTGCAGGCCGCAGCTTGGCCCACAAAGCTTTTTCTATGGGCTTCCGAAGGCAACGTTAGACACCCACGGGCCCGGCCCTCAAACGCTCCTCGGCAGCCGGCAGGCCTGCCCCGGCCTCTCTGTGGCCTGTCCGAAGCCTGTCCGAAGCTTGCCTCTAAGGCTTTTTGGTGTAAAGTAGGTGTTCACTTTTTCACAGCAGGTGTTAGAAAAGCTTGTTCATCAGCACTTCCAGGAGAGTGGTTTTCTAATTGTTCTTGCTGACTTTTCCTTTTTTCAATCCTGTCAGTCCTCTGGAGCCTTGTTCCTTTCACGTGTATGGGTTGGAGGAGATCTCGCCTAGAGACCTTGGCAAATAACCCTTTATCTTGCAGTAAATAAATTAAATCTACTAACTAGGAACGAAGAAAGTATCCAACAAGGAACGTAAACTCATTTAGTACATATCATCAGTTTGATTCATATGTATATCAAATATACTAACACCATGATATTATGGCGTTATTATTACTGGTATATCTATGTAGCAATCACTATGTAGCCATCACTATGTAGCATTCCATCTGACTGAAGCTCCGTTCCGGGACCCTAACGGTCACATCTGAATTAACCTCAGAGTGAAACTTTGGAACGCCGCACGCTGGAGGCCGCATTCATTGATAATGGAACAAAACTATGGAAACCAACACTTTCTGTAGAAATTTCTCAGGGGTTCAAAAGCGCCCAA